AGTACAAGTTCTCCAGGGGCGACGTCGTAGCTTTTTGGTAATTTTCGCCTCTCACGTTGTAAATTTTAACAAAGGTTTTTGCCGAACTCATCTATATACTTATTTTTTGTTTATTTTATTGAGTTGCATTTTGGTTTTAATTGCAATTTAGCTGCCATTAGTTTCTGCTTTAGAGTTTCTTTGTATGTTTTGGAGGTTAAGTGCTGATTAGTTTTGCTAGGCTGAGTGAGAGGAATATTGAGGCTTTTTTTTAATTGTTTGGTTAATATAGAGTTACTGAATCTCCTTAAAGCTAAAGGTATCACATTTGCTTGGTGTTGATTATTGCGAAAATTCCTCAGAGTAGTCAATATAGCTCAAGCTTTGTTGAACTTGATGCCTGCAGCATAAATGATATATTCATTAGGCCTTTATGCTAAATTACTGAAAATTCTTATGTTTTATATTGTTGACGACCGAGCATATATTATTCCAGTCATTTACTCTGTTTGTTTTAGTCCAATTGGTAGAATTGGTGGTGCACAACCCTTCTTTATTATTAGTATTATTATTATTATTTTTTTCATATTGTGTATCACGTCAACTTGAAAGGAAGAAAGTTCAATTGTTGATTGATATGCAGAGGTTTTCGTATCATATTTCAAATATGCTTATGAGATTAAACTATACATTTTTGAATGGTTCCCACTGAAAGGAATTTTACATAGTTCTGTTGATGAAGCTTAGGTAAATAAAAATACCCATGTACGGGTACTTAATTCATGAAAAGTTGACATTTTCATTTATTACGGGTACTTAATACATGTATTAAGTATTTAGTACTCATGGCAACTTATCAGTAATTTTTTATTCAACTTTAATACATGGGTATTTAAGTTGAATATCAATCTACACGAGATATTTTTTCGTAACTATGTACACGAGATAGTTTATTCATTTAAGTTGAATATTTCCCCGTGTATATACAAAAATATATCAGTAATGTAATTATATAGATGTTAAAGATAAGTTGGAATATATCCAAAAAAATTTCCAAATTTGTTACCTAAAAATTGGGATTCCTATGATTTCGATTTCATAGTTGAGAAAATCCGGTGGTTTCCTGAATAATTGAAAAGAAAATCCGGCCAAATTGTTTATATTGGAATGATTCCAGTATTCTGTTTTTTCCCTGATTCTGTTTTGGAATGATTTAAAATAAAAAGAAAATCAAAAAGTATATAATGGATTTTTTATTAGGTTTCCACAAATGGGAAGTCAATGGTGTTGTTGACCAGCTTTTTAAAAGTTTCCACAAATGATTTATTGACCTCTCTTTTTCAATATATATAGATATGACAAAAATAAAATTTTTAAAAAAAGTTCACTAAAGATAGGAAAGTAAATAAATTTCATTTGCAAAAAAAAAAAAAATTAGATTCAATTCTTTTCATATTTGTAGTAATATGACAAAAATAAAATTCTAAAAAAACGTTTACTACAGTCCAGAAAGTAAATTTCATTTAAAAAAATATTAGATTACGATTCGTATTTTTTAATATAAATTCTAAACTTTGATTCCATGAGGTAGCACAATTTAAGTTTTTTTAAAACTATAATTGATAGTAATTTAACCTTGTTAAAATTCAAAAATAGTACCCTAAGAAAGTAAAACTAATTTGCACAATTTTTATTCCAATTAATAATCGGACAAATTGAAATTTTTTATAATCTTACCAATAAAAAATTGGATATGTAACGTTAAAAGCATAAACTAAATCTCTAAAAGTATCTGCATTGATCTAATTAACAAATGATATGTACATAAATTTCAATATAAATAGACCAATGCAAACCGTGATTATTGCATTCAACACACTCGATTTACGAAGTAGATCGTAGAAATACAACCTTTAATTTTTAATTATTTAAAAATGACGCCACCACGGGGTTTGATCAAGTCTAGAGGTCCAATAGGCCATTGCTCAAGCTTTGTATTATTCGCATGTTTCAAAAATCGTCCGAGAATATTTCTTATAAAAATGTGCTTGAGTTAATTTTGCATGTTAATGAGGTTTGCCACTTCTTTCTATTATTAATTTCTTTTTTTTTTTCCCAGATGTATAGTATTATAATTTGTTTTCTTAAAGGGTTGGCGGATACCCGGTCTCATTAGGCATGTTCACATACCCAAGTTCATTGACGAGCTTCAGGATGGAGAAGTTTATGTCTTTCATCATTATCAAGTGGAGAGCAACATTGACATTCACAAATCAACTATTGACAAATATCGCATCATACTTCATGGGAGAATCGAATTCTATAAATTTAATGGGCCATTTCCATTGTTTCGATTCTCTTTTAGAAGTTTTCTCACTTTGCGTGCTGTAGACAACATCGATGAATCAATGTTGTTTGGTAAGCCCTATATTCATTTTTTTATGTAAACCTATTATTATGTTTAAATTCTTTTATATGAATTCTATATTCAATATAATTATGCAATTTTATTATATTCTATTATTTTTAGATGTTATTGGCTTCTGCAAATGCCACTTTCATATGTTGGGATAGAGAGTGTGAATGGATGATTGACAGTCATGTGAGCTTCTAAAACGTTAATTTTCTGCGTTAAAGATGACTAATATTTAATTAATAAATATTAAATAGTTAATCTACATAGCCCAGACGACCGAGACGCTCTCCACCCAGCCCTAAAGACGGAACCTTGACCCTCCCCCCAGCGACGCCGAGATGCCGGCGATCGAAAGTCACAAACCGACCCTGGCAGGAGCAAGAGATCGAGTACGGAGCAAGACATCGAGCAGAGAGCTAACCTCAGGACCCCGACGAGAAGAACTGCCCCAATCCGAAGAGAACATATGCGGTTTGAGCCACCACCATTTCCAGACCCAGTACTCCTCCTTCCACACTACTTCGGGACGCCGTCGGACTTCGCGCAGATCCGACCACTTGCTCGACCTGGCAAAGACCGCCTGAACCCCTAAGCAATCGACGTAAGAAAGAGAGCCCCGTGACTAAAACATGATTGTGCAACGAAGAGCTGTCCACCGACGACCCGGACGACAACAGAAGGAGGCTCAAAGCGGCTGAATTTGACGGGAGCCAGGGTTCGGCGATTTTGAAAATTTGGGAGAGGAGCAATCTCATTGGAGTGTTCTTATTTTGGAGTTTATTAATATGAAAGGTAGAAAAAATATTAATGATAGAATTTGTAACAGAAAATGGAGGAAAAAATCAAATGATTTTATTAAATATTTTGCCTACATATATATAGATTATTAAGTTTTAAGTGGGCATCATATTAGACTCTGTATAATGGGTTAAGAGATTCACATGTGGTACACACAAAAAATGGCCCAAGATGAATTACTAACCAATAAAATATGCTCCAATGCTAAGAAGCCCAACATTAAGCTAGGGTTTCGTCTCATTCTCCTTTAAATGCTCTCTTCGTTGACCGCACAGCCCTTCTCTTACATCTCTCTCACACGCCCACTAAGGATCCGAACTAAGCCCAACTTTTCTTAAGCCCAAGCAACCATTTTGGCAACCCTATTTTTAGCGAAAGAGACAGCCGCCGCCTTCATTCTTCCTTCATCTCTCGCACGGCAGAATCAGGAAATCCGATCGAAATCGATCGATCGACAGAAAAAGCATCTCCCTCCCCTAAAATTTTCCCGTCGATCATCTCTATCGGCTTTCACTTTTCACCAAATCTTACGGACAAGTCGCCATCTTCCTCTTCCCCGACCGACCGACCTTCGGCAACCTTCCCCCAGCCGTTGTCTCCTTCGACCAACGTCCGGTCGCGTTGAAGCCAGCACCGTCGAGAGTAGCAGCCGTCGAACCCCTGTCCACGAGCAGTCTTGCTGGCGTCCGTTCACCATCCATCGTCGCCGCCGCGAGTTCCACGCGCAGCCGCAGCCGCAGCCGCCGAACGGGCGAGCCCTACCGAACGGACAGAGAGCAGTCATTTCCGGTAAGGAGCAGCGAACGCCGGGCAAACCGCGACCCGGAACCGCCAACCACCAGATTTCCGGGCGACCAGACCAGTGGGCTGAGAGGTTTCCGAACACCTTCATTTGGCAGGTACTAGTCGCGGCTGAAACCAAACATCGCCGGCGCTACCAGGTCCGACCCGACCTTCAACTGCTGAGTTTTTCTTTCTGACGGCGGGCTGAGGCGCCATTTTCTGATTGAAGAGTACCCGGGCTGAGGGCCTGTTTCCGGTGATTTGAGCACCATCCGAGAGTAGGCTTTTCGTGGACTGAGGCGCCTTGATTTCTAACGGCCACCGAGAGCTTGAGCAGCGGCAGACGGGCCATTTTTTAGAACGTGTGGGTGTCCGGGCTGCAGCGAGCCGAGTCTTCCCGAGGCCGCTAGTGACCATGTTCGAATCTCAATTGGCTTTTCCTCTCCTCGTGTAGAATCGAGGAGTGTGGTAATCTCAATTTTCTCTTTTATTTTCGTTCGTTTAGATCCCTGTTTTGCGATGTGCGTCTCGTTGGAGATTGAGAATCATGTTTGAATTGTGGATTGCGAATCTTTTTGTGAACTGTGAATAGTGAATCTTGTGTAATCGAGACCTTGAGTAAATCTGTGGAATGGTGGTTTCGATCTTGTAAATGGAGATATGGTTATGTGAATAACTTGGTGTGAATAAATATTGATTTAGTGGGATGTTGGGATCTTTGGATTTGAGTTATGTTGGTGAGATTAATTGGTGAAGTTATTCTGTTAAAGTTGTGAAATTTCATGGACTGGGAACCTTTGTATTGCCTTGGACTTATGTTGAAACTCTTAGAAAAGGAGATTACATTCGTGTGCTTAACTTGGGAAAAATAATGGACTTGAGACTTTGTTTTGTTGCCTTAGGATTGTGTTGAGAACATTGAAAAATTTGAGAAGTTCGGATCTTTAAAAGTGAAGAATTATTTGTGTTAATTGGTGAAGTTGGGCTCTTGTGAATTTTGGTTATATTTGTTTGTTCAGAAACAATGACACGTTATACCAATTTTGTAGACGAAACTTTTTTCTCCAACGAGATTGATATTCTTCAACCTCTATCCATATCAAAGTCTCAATTTGCTATTCCATTGGATTAAATGGTTTAGTTAGTTTATGCTTTCTCCATTCTAGTCCTGCTTTTTTAGTGTATTGACTTCTTTACTATCTTCGAAATTTTCTTACCTTCATATATAGTGACTGCTATTTTTTTCTCAATGGTGGTCTTTTCAAATTCTAGCATTTTGCTCACAGTGCATCATAAACATCCGCTGTGATTCTGAGGCATCAGTGATGATTTTTTTTTTTTAAAATATTTGTCAGTGATGAAGTTGATGACAAAGATATGAGCAGTATGCTGACAATTGTGGATATTGCTGGAGCAGAGAGTGAAAAGAAGACCTGCAATCAGGTAAATTTTACATTATGTGAAAGCAAATGAATAATTTCTTCCAAGTAGGGGGAAACCTGTGTGTGCTTGTACAGATATTAACACTTAACTTTTCGATCTCAGATTAAAGTGCAAGGGCAGGTTCTGCAAGGATCAACTTAAAATGGGGTGCTTGGCAAAATTAAACGAATTCGAAGCTATATCTTGACTTGGTCGTTTTTCGGGTATATTTACAGATTCTGCGATTTTCTAGCGATTTTCTGTTTCGTTATTCCTTGGCTGCCAAAATTATTTAATTTATGTTTTTCTGTATGTATTTTGAGGTGCCTGTTATCTACTATTGTGATGTTACTATGTGGACTGAACTTCTGCAAAAGCTACTTCTAACTTTTGACAAACAGTGGGTCTGTAGACAGTTAATCCGAATCATAAGTTTCTGTAACGAGGGCAAACCATTATATGAATGGTGCCTTTTCTTTGGAAGAGGAAAAAGTATTCACCAAGGCATGATGAACTTAGACAATTCGTGCAAAGGCATGATGAACTTAGACAATTCGCGCAAAGGCATGGTGAACTTGGATAATTGGGGCAACGGATTTATGAACTTTACAAAGAAAAGGCACCATTCATATAATGGTTTGCCCTCGTTACAGAAACTTATGATTCGGATTAACTGTCTACCGAATCAGGGAAAAAACAGAATACTGGAATCATTCCAATATAAACAATTTGGTCGGATTTTCTTTTCAATTATTCAGGAAACCACCGGATTTTCTCAACTATGAAATCGAAATCATAGGAATCCCAATTTTTAGGTAACAAATTTGGAAATTTTTTTGGATATATTCCAACTTATCTTTAACATCTATATAATTACATTACTGATATATTTTTGTATATACACGGGGAAATATTCAACTTAAATGAATAAACTATCTCGTGTACATAGTTACGAAAAAATATCTCGTGTAGATTGATATTCAACTTAAATACCCATGTATTAAATACCCATAAAAAATTACTGATAAGTTGACATGAGTACTAAATACTTAATACATGTATTAAGTACCCGTAATAAATGAAAATGTCAACTTTTCATGAATTAAGTACCCGTACATGGGTATTTTTATTTACCTAAGCTTCATCAACAGAACTATGTAAAATTCCTTTCAGTGAGAACCATTCAAAAATGTATAGTTTAATCTCAGAAGCATATTTCAAATATGATACGAAAACCTCTGCATATCAATCAAGAATTGAATTTCTTCCTTTCAAGTTGACGTGATACACAATATGAAAAAAAAATAAAAAATAATAATAATAATAATAATAAAGAAGGGTTGTGCACCACCAATTCTACCAATTGGACTAAAACAAACAGAGTAAATGACTGGAATAATATATGCTCGGTCGTCAACAATATAAAACATAAGAATTTTCAGTGATTTAGCATAAAGGCCTAATGGATATATCATTTATGCTGCAGGCATCAAGTTCAACAAAGCTTGAGCTATATTGACTACTCTGAGGAATTTTCGCAATAATCAACACCAAGCAAATGTGATACTTTTAGCTTTAAGGAGATTCAGTAACTCTATATTAACCAAACAATTAAAAAAAAGCCTCAATATTCCTCTCACTCAGCCTAGCAAAACTAATCAGCACTTAACCTCCAAAACATACAAAGAAACTCTAAAGCAGAAACTAATGGCAGCTAAATTGCAATTAAAACCAAATTGCAACTCAATAAAATAAACAAAAAATAAGTATATAGATGAGTTCGGCAAAAACCTTTGTTAAAATTTACAACGTGAGAGGCGAAAATTACCGAAAAGCTACGACGTCTCCCCTGGAGAACTTGTACTTCTCAAGGCATAATTTCTCAACCAATACATAGTCATTTGCCACCCACCGCAAATAATCAACCACATTGAGTCAAAACTACAGAAAATTAATTTAAAAAAAAAAAAGTAAGAGTAGCTTTTTGTAATATAGGAAATTTACCGAGCACGAATCCCGTCCAGTCTCCGGCATGTGGATTCAGAGTGGGAGACATTGATGAGCCGCGAACGGCCATGAAGCTTGCGTACCGATCAGAAATTGTGAGGCCAATCAGACCGGCGGTGAAATACCTTTTAGCTAGACTCCATAGGAAGCTTCGAGAGGACATATTCGGGATAGCGGAAGAAGACACTCTGGGTTTTCGCTTAGGTATGAAAACGGTTCACCGGTAAAAGCAGCCTCACTAAGCGGTTGATAGATCTTGGTCTATATCTCCGTCTCTGGTGGCCTCTTAGGAGTCTGATAAAGACAAAGATCGTAGCGTGTCTACAATTTCTATTGAAAAAACCTCCTCCTCATATAAAGTAAGAAGTGCCATTTAGTAGCACTCATGGGATCTGGTCAACAAAGGAAGGTCGGCCTAAACTCCCTTGGCTGTGCTCTCTATTACTCCCCCTGTTTGGCTCTAAAACTTCCTAACATAAATCCCGAAAGAGCGGAATAAAGGAGAGCAAAAGGAGTTCAACTTAGAACAAGAAAGAAAGCCTAGGCCAATGGTCCCACACCCGGAAAAGCATTCACTCGCTCAAGCAATAAAGGAATTTCTCCGGGGATGATATTAATCGCCAGGAAGCCATCGGAGGTGGGCCGGCGTTTGACGGTGGTGAAAAGTGAGCTTGCGTGTGAGGTTTTAGGTTGAAACTGAAATTTCGATGAAACACCACTGAAATCGTGCTTGTGTGGTAGGAAACGTGAAGAAAAATCATTCTAAAAATATAAAAAAATAGACCCAAAATATTACGAAACTCATGCTGGATACAATTTTTTTTAAAAAAATTTAAATATTTTTAATTCAACCATTTTTTTAACTCAACCACACTATCATTAATATTATCAATATAATTAAATAATATCAATCATTCTTACACACCACCTTACCTTAATTCACTATTCATCAACTCAAATAATTTTAACTAACCATCACTTCAAATCTTCTCTCTCCTACTTTACATCAACTCAACTTTAATCATTTTATTTTAAATATTAATCTAATATACCCACTAACAACTAATCATACCAACTTTTTCAAAATTAACCAAACCAAACAAAAAAATCCAAACAAAACCAAATTTTTTTATATTCAATCATCCTAAAAATCCACACATGAATTTAAAAGTGATTCCAGTAATTAATGAAATCCCAGTAAAGAAAAGTGATTCTTCTTCTTTTTCTATCCTTCGCCGCCAGCTCATCACGAATGCTGGCCAACCGAGCGGGCATTCGTCTGAGGTGTATTGTAAATAAGCATCAATTACAAAACTACCCCAAAGCCGTAGCCTAATTACCCAAAAAAAGAGTCCTATCTTTCAAAGGTAGAGGATAGTTTTTGTAAAGTATGATTTAAGTGTCCCTGTCATAAAAATAGAGCAAGTGGAACATTTACCGTTTTGAATATTATAGAATTTTTTAAATTCATGTGTGGATTTTTAGGATGATTGGATATAAAAAAATTTGGTTTTGTTTGGATTTTTTTGTTTGGTTTGGTTAATTTTGAAAAAGTTGGTATGATTAGTTGTTAGTGGATATATTAGAATAATATTTAAAATAAAATGATTAAAGTTGAGTTGATGTAAAGTAGGAGAGAGAAGATTTGAAGTGATGGTTAGTTAAAATTATGTGAGTGGATGAATAGTGAATTAAGGTAAGGTGGTGTGTAAGAATGATTGATATTATTTAATTATATTGATAATATTAATGATAGTGGGGTTGAATTAAAGTTGAGTTAAAAAAAATGATTGAATTAAAAATATTTAGATTTTTTCGAGAAATTTTGTATCCAGCATGAGTTTCGTAATATTTTGGGTCTATATTTTATATTTTTGGAATGATTTTTCTTCACGTTTCCTACTACACAAGCACGATTTCAGTGGTGTTTCATCGAAATTTCAGTTTCAACCTAATACTCACACGCAAGCTCACTTTCCACCACCGTCAAACGCCGACCAACCTCCGACGGCGGCTGCTTTTACCGGTGAACCGTTTTCATACCTAAGCGAAATCCCAGAGTGTCTTCTTCCGTTATCCCGAATATGTCCTCTCGAAGCTTCCTATGGAGTCTAGCTAAAAGGTATTTCACTGCCGGTCTGATTGGCCTCACAATTTCCGATCGGTACGCAAGCTTCATGGCCGTTCGCGGCTCATCAATGTCTCCCACTCTGAATCCACACGCCGGAGACTCGACGGGATTCGTGCTCGGTAAATTTCCTATATTACAAAAAGCTACTCTTACTTTTTTTTTTAAATTTAATTTTCTGTAGTTTTGACTCAATGTGGTTGATTATTTGCGGTGGGTGGCAGATGACTATGTATTGGTTGAGAAATTATGCCTTGAGAAGTACAAGTTCTCCAGGGGCGACGTCGTAGTTTTTCGGTAATTTTCGCCTCTCACGTTGTAAATTTTAACAAATTTTTTTGCTTAACTCATCTATATACTTATTTTTTGTTTATTTTATTGAGTTGCATTTTGGTTTTAATTGCAATTTAGCTGCCATTAGTTTCTGCTTTAGAGTTTCTTTGTATGTTTTGGAGGTTAAGTGCTGATTAGTTTTGCTAGGCTGAGTGAGAGGAATATTGAGGCTTTTTTTTTTAATTGTTTGGTTAATATAGAGTTACTGAATCTCCTTAAAGCTAAAGGTATCACATTTGCTTGGTGTTGATTATTGCGAAAATTCCTCAGAGTAGTCAATATAGCTCAAGCTTTGTTGAACTTGATGCCTGCAGCATAAATGATATATCCATTAGGCCTTTATGCTAAATCACTGAAAATTCTTATGTTTTATATTGTTGACGACCGAACATATATTATTCCAGTCATTTACTCTGTTTGTTTTAGTCCAATTGGTAGAATTGGTGGTGCACAACCCTTCTTTATTATTATTATTATTTTATTTTTTTTCATATTGTGTATCACGTCAACTTGAAAGGAAGAAAGTTCAATTCTTGATTGATATGCAGAGGTTTTCGTATCATCATATTTGAAATATGCTTATGAGATTAAACTATACATGTTTGGATGGTTCTCACTGAAAGGAATTTTACATAGTTCTGTTGATGAAGCTTAGGTAAATATCATTTTACAGATCCCCAATTATTTATAAGGAGAAAAACGTGAAGAGAATTGCTGCCTTGCCCGGTGATTGGATCTATCTCTCGTCACAAGACACTGTTAGGGTTCCGGAAGGGCATTGTTGGGTCGTGGGAGACAATGCAGCTTCTAGCTTGGACTCGAGATCACATGGTCCGGTATGATGAAATTTATATATGTAACGCTCGCTAGACTTATATTTGATTTTAATGAAACTTTTATTGCATAATTATATAAATTAGTAAACTAAGGCATGGTAGTATTATCTTCATCGTTNAAAAGAAAAATTGTCACTCGAGTTGATTGTTGCTTCTTTTCTTGTCTACCAGAAATAGTAGATGAGCCATCTCTAACTTAGGCTATGTTTGGTATAAGTTTATACCAAATAGTAGAAGCTAGCTATTTGATTAGCTTATAAGTTTGCTGTATTCAAATAAGTTTCGTTTGGTAGGATGAACTTTTTTTTAAAAAGCTCAAGCTTATCTCATAAGCTTCTTTGGGTAACTTTTCAAATAAGTTTGTTAAAATTTTTATTTCACCTAGCTAATTTTACCAAAACACTTCTCTTATAGGCTAGCTTTTCAGCTATAAGTCATAAACTACAAGCTCAAAAATCACTTTTAAGCTAGAAGCTTATCAGCTAGTTTTCCAAACATAGACTTAAATTATTTTGGAGCATGAACACAAGAAATATTACCAATGAGATGATCCCACACAATTACAACTAAAGTACTAATTACTAAATCATTAAAGTGTCATGTCATTTCCATCACTTCTTACACCAAAGGTATTGTATCAAATCATCTGCAACATTTCCTTTATCCTTTTCAAACTTCTGTGAGCAATTAATTATCTTTTAACGATACTATAAATGGGCTTTGAGAATAATGCTTCTTCACTTGGTGGGTGAAATAGTAAAAAATGCTAATACTATAAGATCTACGGTTTTTGCATTGTTCTATATTAATATTTTTTAAATTTTTTTTACCTTTCTCGACTCACAAATGCTGTCCTGGCAGATCCCTTTGGGCCTGATATGCGGACGAGTCACCCACATCGTGTGGCCGCCTCAAAGGATCGGTGGAGTAAATAGTAAAATCAGCATATTGCCTGAATTGCAAGTTCATGCTTCAGAAGAACGCACACATTGATTTTATTTTTTTTCATGGTTGACTGAAAAAGTTCTAAATGCTGCAGGCTGCAGCTGGGCACAATTGTGAATTCCCTTCTTGAAATTTTCATTTTCTTTTTTTCTCGATTTATGTTATATTATTTGTCATATTCTTTTTTAATGTTAAAAAGTTTGGATTTTTGACACTAATAAGATTCTTGATGATTGTGCTGTGAGATGGATGTGTTATTTCATATTTCCATTTATAGCCATAAATTGAGAAAGTTATATATATTGTCAAACACGTGCATTAGTTATTTACAAAGCACAATGTCATACTTTTTTTTTTTAAAAAAAAAAATGCATTCTTATGTTATGAAATGTTATACTTTTGTTTATATTGTTTTTTGAAGTATGATATTTTAATCTGAGTATGGGAAATTTTTAATTAAAAATTATGCAAATTTGTTGAACAAGTAGTTTAATGTTTGACAAAATTATGTTCTCGAGAGTAGTATGTATAGACATGTCCACGGGTCGAACTGGCCCGCCGAACTGGCCCGGACCCGGACCGAACCCGGCCCGGCCCGAACCGGACCCGGCCCGGAGAAGCCGGTTTTCAAACCGGAACCGGACATCTAGCGGGCCGGTTCCGGGCCTTTTCGGTAATAAAAAAACCCGGCGGGCCGGGCCCGGTCCGGGCCGGGTTTACGGGTTCAAGACTCAAAATTCAAAAAAAAAAAAAAA